AAGGCTTTCATATGCAAAAGATCAGATTTTTCTTGTTGTTTTTTTTTCATCTGGCTAGCTGGTAGATTCCAAACAGGCGTATTCAAGCTTTCAGACACACCCTTCAAAGTCTAAGCTATTTAATTTTTGTTGATATTACTACTTCCTATTAAAATTTTCTCATTTTAATCATATTTTTCTATAAAAAGTATATTCATGGGTAAAGGTATCTTTTGATCAAAACTAATTTACCTTTGTCAACTGTATTTAATATAAGGTCAGAAAATTCTGTTTAAATTTGGTCCTTTTATTATGGGAAGAGTATTAGCATGGTGGAAACGGTGCAGAGAAGTCCACTAGAATGGTACCTGTTTTAAAATTTTTAAACTACGTGTATGAAGAAAGGCTCAAGAGAGTTTTTTTTTACCTTGAGTGTGGAAGAAGTAGAAGTAATCTGATTCAGATGCTTACTTATAAGAAGCTTAAGCTGGAGATAATTTGAAGTTGGTATGATAATGTTGAAAGTATGAAGTATGAGTGGCAATAAAAATAAGTAAGAAATCCAGATCCAGACTTGTTTTTTAGGCCTTAAACTATATTTCTGTTGGGGACTGACCTGCTAAAAGTACTATCACTCACATTTTTGGAGTAATTTTTTTTTTCTTGTTTTGTGGAAATACTTAGTATGAAATGGCTCTGAGGATCAAATGAGAAGTGATGGGGATGATGTATTCTGAAACCCACTTCTGGTGATTAATGGACTTGAAACTGTAAGCTGTAAGGTGAAATAAAATATTCTATAACTTTGAATGTACTGAGTTTATGTTCATTAAAATTGTGTGATTTTAACATAAGAGGGAGCACTGTTATAAACAAAAAAACTAGCAGAAACTTTTCATTGGCCAAAAAAACTGAAATGTGATTTTCAGGCTGAGAATAAAAATTTTTATTCAAGTTATAGTTCATATTTCAGTTACATACTCTCTGTATCATTCTGACTAAATACCAGTAAATTTATTATGACATGCACATTTAACAATTAATTTGAAAATATACAAAAAAAATGTTGTACTCCCTATATGACTACCCATTTGCACTTGTCTACTAGGTGCTCCCTAGGCCTAAGCTGGAGTGGTCCTTAAAAATGTCATGTTTTAAAAAAACTTCTTATACTTTAAAAATCTAACCTATGTAAAAGCCAATGTGTGTCATGTCACATCATGCTTGATTTCTCAAAATAGGAGGAATCATAAAACCAGATAGAATAGTTCAATTACTGTGTATCCTTTATGAATTTAGTTAGGGGGATACAAGGGGCCACGAAACCTTATAAGTGTAATGAGTGTTGGTAAAATGAGCCTAAAGTAAAGACATAGTCTGGGATCATCTAGCCTAGAGCCAAGTGCATAAAATTTATCATGAAAGTAAAAATATCGATTCCATTTTCAACTTAAATCGTTTCTGAATTAAGGTATTTTCTGTTATATTATCAACATTTTAAATAGAAAAAACCTCTCTAATGAACAGAGACTGTAAATTAAGAAATCAACAGATATTTTTCCAGTTTTGTTGTCTATACATTTCATGTTATACTTTCAGTACATAGCTAACAACAATATTAGGTTATACTTTTGTTGCTAAGCAACATGACATAAAAGCCATTGTTGGAAGGTAGTGTTACCAAAAT